CGATACTTTTCCAGATGAAACGTAAATGAAGCCACGTGTGATTACTTGATTCCTGAACGGACCTTCCAACTTCAGTTCGATTCACAAATGACAACCTAGATCTGCCAGCTTACAGAATTATTGTGAGACGCAGTTTAATGCGTTCGGCAAATGTTTTCTCCCAAACTGATGTTGGAACCAATCACAATAAGTCCTGTTGAAAGATTTGTAAAGTGATGCCCTAAACCCTAAACTCTATACCATGTGTGAGCATAAAACCCTGTGAATTAAGGCAGACATATTAATTGGAAATGCATTGCACAAGTCAAATGGAACCAGACACTTTGGATTTTATCTGTTATACTTTTTGCAGAACTGTCCATGTATAATGTTGCCTTTAAATTCATTTTCTTTATACGTCACTGATCGTTGGAAAAACTATGCATCAGCGATGGTCAGGAATGAAGAACGCCCTCAATGTACTCAACAAAATGTTTTACATTGTAAGATACTAGCAAGGTCTTGGCGCTAAAGATGCATGGTGAATCCAGATTAATGAAATGTTACGCGCTGAGGTCGAAATACAATGAAACAATTAACCAAAAGAACTGAGAATTGTCAAATTTGCGGACTGTTGGTACTTCAACAAGACAAGGTAAAGCAAGTCCAAGAGAACACAAAATTAAATTCAATCAATGATTCCGATTTTCAGAATGGCTAGTATTACTGGAAATCATTTCGTGCATCTGGCGTTGGCGTACACAATGGGCAGGATTTAGCCTATATTCCGAGGGCATGCCACCTTCTTTCACTTTCAGGGTCGAGGAAGAAATCAGCGCAGCTTTCAAATGCATCTTTCAAGATGCTTCCTTAAAGCACAAGAGAGGCGGGAAGTTGTCTGGATTAGGGCGGGCCTTTGGCATCACGGGAGCCAGTCTAATGACCTCCCGGAGGTGGATGTGATATGCAAGCTTCCTGCTCATAATAATAAAACGTCTCCCTCCCTGTTCTGGTCCGACAGGAGACTGGTCAGGGTCTAGTTTATTGGCACTCCTCCGGTGCTCGTTGTTCGATCTGTGCAGACGTTAGCGGGCGCTCTGTTAGCACGGACCTGTTAAATGAGGATATAAGCGTTGTATTTGGAGAATAGAATTTCACCAAACTTCCGTGGGCTGTGTCTCGTTATCGTCCTTTCTCTCATGGAAAGTGACTTTAACGTTTGAATCATCTGCTTTGCTCTGGCTAGTTTAAGGGACATCGTATAGGAAGGTTTACTGTTTTTAGCAAAAGTGTAGGTTATTTATTTGAAAGCATTTCACAGTAACCACAATGTGTAAACAAATGTGCCTCAGCGTAGGATATTCTGACCATGGCAACTTATCAGTTACCGCTGTTTTTCTTTTCCAATGCCGGAAGCTTAATTTCAGGTAATGAGTTCCAACGTGTTAGTCACCTTCGTACGCACAATCTATAAACGATGAATATAATAAATCCCATTTCGTCTAATCCTGTATATTGGTGAGCAAATTAAAAACATCCGTGACATTTGGACTGGCCTCCCTCGATTTCGTATGCCACCTGTCTGTCATTACGCCGTCGTTGGTAACGGAATAGTTTTGGCAGATGCTGTGCAATGGGAAGGCTCATTATCAGAGTAAAGGTCGCTTCTTCCAAACATCTTGACTCTGACGTCAAGGATGACCAACAGTGCATCATTGTGTGTGTATGAGCGATATCAGGTGTGCTTGTCATTCCTGTATCTTCTGTTTTGATGTAAAATGATATTCAGTTTGTGAGCCGAGGCCGTCTTCAATTACGGACTCTGAAAAAAAATGGTCGGACCTACGTACAAAAAAATGGAATCACCAGATAATAATTTCATTTCGACAAGAGAATTTTCTCCTGATGTATTGTGATTGGTAGAAAGTTTCTTGCGTAAGAGTTTTCCCCGTTGGGTGTGGAGTGATACATGCGGTCACACATTTCACAGAACAAACTGTTTTATTCCTCGTTTGTATTTCCCTGTTTGATTTTTTAGGGGAACAGATGATTTAAGGGTGCTGGTTGCTCCGCTCCCAGGTTTGATTAGATTTTTGTTAACCTTTGCCGTCGCCCCACCACCCGTTGAAAAGGCGTTGGTGACCGCTTATCCAGTTTAGTACTCTAATTATGAAGAGTGACACTGACGATTTAGAGTGAAAGTCACTCTGATTTTAACTTGAAATACTCTGGAAAAAAACTCCAGTGGAAACTCGCCAGTGAAAACTCGATCCATTCGATTGAATGAATTTCACTCTTTTGTGAGTTTGGTGAGGTTCTGAAAAGAACGGCGGGCAACTCAACGTTTCAGACAGTATACCCTGCCCGTCGCCAGGAGACTGAATTTTGACACGAGAGTTTTCTTCTGATGTATTATGAATGATTTTTGCGTATTTAGTTTCCCCAAGTGTGGTCTCCACACTGACATGCCTCACAGATCACCCAGCATCCCCTACTCAAACCACGGATCCTCTATACACAAACTAGGCACTCCACTGTTGCATCCTTGACACGCTACACTGCTTCCAGTCACAATAAATAACAGCCCGGCCTTCTCCGTTGAAATTCCTGCAGTCTCCTGACGAACCTCGCAAACTCACAAAAGAGATTTGTCACAGGGTGCTACCGTAAACCTTATCTTATTGCTATTTTCACCATGCATACCTTTAAATCTTTTTAAAAAAAAACCACCCTAACTGTGACTTCATGATAATGCACGAATGCCTTCTTTTGAAGGAGATGGTTTAATTGCATCTTAAACTTGATAGTCTTCTCTTCACTGAGAGGTCATCGTCTTCTCTCGAACTATTTCAAGAAGGCAGGCAGCTTAGGGAAGCCAACAGGCGCAGACAGAGCCCCCAACTTATCTTTTGAGGTCAAGCGTTACGCACTAATTGCTCGCGCATAGCGCGCGTCGTGTCTCGGCTAAAGTTAACGATACCCAAAGTGACGTGAGGATTTGTATTAATCCGCGGGTGTAAGTCGGTTGTAATTCATCAAAAGGGGCCTTTAAAAATCGCAAATTCATGGCGAGTGCCGAGTAGGATTATAGTATCGGATCCGAGAAATCTGTGGGATTTACCACTTAATCCATGGATAACAAACATTCACATACTACCGGTTAACAGCAGCGGTATAAGATAAGATGGTGCTCTTAATCCAAACTGATTTTCCTATTTCGTACTAATCAGGTGGAGATTTATCTTCGTACTCGCACGGCCTCTGTTATAACTCTTCCGAAGATACGCGGGCAGTGTTCTGTATCTGAGGTCCAATATTTGCACAGTCACGAACCGGCATTATGATTCATTTAAGTCATCAAATTTGGAAGATTCTAAGCATGAATGCTCGCTTTGACCCTATTTTCTTACGAATTAATGATTCTTTTTCTTAAAAAGTAATCAAATTTGAATGTATATCTCAAACAAGCATGTTCTTCCACTCAACTAAAAAAAAAAGGAATTTGATCCATGCTGTCAGAAATTATGCACATCTTATGCAATATTTTTTTTCTAACTCGCACATTTTCTTTTTGACTCGCCCCGTAAATCGACTCCCATAGACCTCAATGATAGTTACGCATACTTCCAAAAATTATTAAAAATACTGATATCTCTTCAAGCAGTTTGAGGTACCCATCAAATTAAAGCTTATTTCATCATCTGTCATTTTCTGTTCAATTTTCGGGTGGTAATCCATGACTTTTGGGGGAAAATTCCATCTAAAAATGATCACTAAAGAAGTCCTATGGCCCATCGCCATTTTGAAAAATGATGCTTGCACGCCATTTCAAAATAGAGCAATTTAAGGGCCCGATTTCATCCGAATTTCACAGAAATATGAGCTCGCACTCCTATATATGCACGGTTTCCACCCATCTTTTTTTACAAACCTTCAAGTTCATGGTTCATAAAATGCTCTAATAGCAAAGAAATTGAGGGCACACAAATCGTGATTTGGCAAGCATAGGAAATTCTGGGCCTATTTGCAGGTCTGTACCCTTTATAGAGACTATTTTGTGGCTGACCTATACGGCGGCTGATGGCGCTATTTTTTGGCGCGTTATTTTTTATTTGGATAAGACAGTTTCATTGGTGTTTAGTTTTACTGACAAACAGGGACTTTGACAGTCTGCCTGTGACATATACATAGATTTATTCCATCCAATATCTCTCGTTAGGTAAGACACGAGGTTTAGACAGGGTGGTTTAGAAAAGAAATGCCGGGTCACATTGAGCAACCGCAAACTCGTCCTTTTTACCTCGAGTTGGTGTAGGAATATGACTCGGCATTCTCTTAGCTCATGGTCAAGAAAGTGCAGAGTACTTCACATGTCAAAAGCCAAGGACTGTCCGTCTGTACTTGTGAGCTGAGCCACGGTCATCGCTAAGATTGCACAGTTCAGGCAATTGAAAGTCACAGTTAATCAAGACGAGATTTCTTTAAGGAGCTAAACAAGGGTTGACAGTTTGTTTTTGCCTCAAACGATACATGATGACAGAATTGAGTAACTATGACAGTTACAGGCCTACACTGCGGCGATTTGACAAGAACTCTACCAAGCACGATATACAGTTGAAATAGTTTTTTTGGGCAGAGTGAATTCTTGATCTCTGAGACTTCAGCACCGCCATGACGTCACTACATCCTAACGTCATCGTACGGATGACTAACTTTGTGGTTTTGGACAAATATATCTTCCAACGTATATGAAAATGTCTTGCTTAACTTTCTATATATGTTTGCTACCTATGAACATGTTGGTACTTATGAACACAGTATAATCTGTCTTGACATTGTTTTCAGTGTACATGTGTGTAAATTTTCGTTCACTTTGCTTGATGCATAGCAAGTGATGATATACCTAATAAGTGAATTGTCAGACATGATCATCCCTTTTTCCTATCTTTGCCTCAACATGCCTGATTTAAACCAAATTTCATGGTACTAATTTTAATAATGTCTTGTTATTTGTCTTGCAGCGTGTACAAAGCGCACATGGGGTCTAGACTGCCGCCAGCTTTGTCGCTGTCAAAATGGCGGCAAATGTAACAAAGAAGACGGTAGTTGTCGATGTCCACGAGGCTGGACAGGACAAGACTGTACTCAGCCATGTGATGCAACGCGGTACGGACTCAACTGCAGTCGGCCATGTCCTTGTCAAAATGGCGCCCTCTGTGACCGCTTCAAGGGGACATGCACGTGCCCTCCTGGGTTCACAGGTCACACATGCGCAGATCGATGTCCTGAGGGCTTTCACGGACCTAGATGTCAAGAACGGTAATTAATACATCAACAGAAAATTCATGTTCAACAATAGACCTAATGACATTACGCTGTTATATGAAAGCGTGCAAACAAAATATGACGTCATTAGGTCTTAGGTCTATTCAATAGTTTTTGCGCGTGTCAAATCCTGTGACATTTTATTGCGTTTTCATGTAACAATTTTCAAATGAGCCAGTGTTAGGAAGCTGAATTTCAATCCTTCAATGAAATTTTAATATATTCCATTGTGGCATTTTGCCTTGAAAAAAATTGGCTGGTACTTTAACGGCCATCTTAATGCAACCAGAGGTTCTTCAAAATGTTTAAAGTAAATCCCTACGACTGCAGTCATCTGGATTGTATACGTTTGTATCGCATCATGAATCATTTCCAAGTTCTATGTTTTATTCAACAAGTAAATCAACGTCTCCAGTAATGCGATTGAATCTTTAACTCACGATTTCCTCTTTAGAATCGAGGTGGCGCTTTAAATGATTCATTCATATAATTAAAGCCCATTGGAGGCTTTATCAGTATTACCCAATGAAAAAAATATATCTTTCGAAACCAAAGCATGTATAAACATCACACTTACCAGCGCAATTGTCTATATCTAGACATACCATATTTTTTTAAACCAAACAATGAAGTTTCCCTCCGTCAGAATAGCTTAACTAATCATATTAATTTGGTCTAATTTAAAGAACTGTTCGAGCAGCATGTAGGGAAATTCTGTATGCACGAGTAGACTTACGTGTGAAGAAAGCCAGTGGCCGGAATTAGGGATCGGAAATATTGAATTTATGTTGTCAGTTGTCCAGTTGTGTGATGCAGAGTTGTGTTTTATGGTTAAACCTCTTTATGGTTGAAATTATTTTTTGTGCATGGTACAGTTGGCACAAGTCGACGTTAAAGACGTTTCTGAATGTCTTAAGAATGACGCATTCTTGCGGTTGAATCTTCTCAAAAAGCGATGACCGAAATCCGAAATTGTTTCCCACTTAAGTAAGCAAGTTCAAACCTGAGCAACTATTATCAGACTTCCTGTTTCTTGGTCCCAGAATAGCGGGTTGGCTATTCTAGGCATTCCGTCCATCTCTTGATTTGAGATGTGTTCAAGAGAGCTTCCACTATACTCTAAGGACAGACCAAACGCCAGTCGGAAAAATTGATTAGAGAATTTCCTGGTCTGAGTCGACGAAAACAATATGGCGTCCCTCATGGCCTTACGGGAGATTTGTGAGTAGTGACTGTGGATTTGTTTTTTGTCCGTGTACCAAATTCAAGTTTACGCAATTCCTCTGATTCATGGTCATACATTACTCAAACGAAGGCCTCACACGAGGGCGCTGTTGCTATTTACATGAGCAAATAATATAGATAGAAATTCAAACCAGAAAAACGACACGCTACCTGGACCGAGTTTCATTAATTAAAAACAAATGCAAAAGGTGGACCCATGCCTTAATGCAATTTCCAGAAGTTCCTTACTATATGTTTTGTTACATTTCTAATATTAATAATCACGTTAATGTTTTGTCCTCATAGATGTGCTTGCAACAATGGCGGGACTTGCAACAGTACCGACGGCATGTGTTCGTGTCAGCTCGGATGGACTGGTAACCTATGCCAGACACGATGCGTGGAGGGTTCATATGGACAGGACTGCTTGGAGAAGTGTCGGTGCGAGAGAGGGACTTGCAATTCAGTCAATGGAACTTGTACGTGCCCTCCTGGATGGCAAGGAGTGAAATGCGCAGAGCTTTGTCCATGGGGCTACTATGGCCAGGATTGCAAGCATCAATGTGGCTGTGCACACGATGAAGGATGTAGTCCTTCAGAAGGTAACTGCTACTGCAGACCTGGATGGATTGGTATGAGATGTGAGGTCAGATGCTCCGGTGGTCGGTATGGAAGTGGCTGTAAGAGACTGTGTCAGTGTCGGAATGGTGCCATGTGTCATCATATCAATGGGAAGTGCACTTGTGCCCCCGGTTGGATGGGAGAGCGCTGTGATGTTCCGTGTTCAAATGAAACGTATGGGGATGGTTGTCAGGGGACTTGTGATTGTCAGAACAATTCCACGTGTGACCATGTGAGTGGTGCGTGCTTCTGTGGCCGTGGTTGGACTGGTAGGAGCTGTGACACGCCGTGTAGTGAGGGCTTCTATGGGTCTGGGTGTTCTCAACTATGTCTGTGCGAGAATGGAGGAACGTGCGACCCGCTGACAGGGGCTTGTAGGTGTACGCCAGGTTGGCAGGGGATGTATTGTAATGCTTCGTGTCTCTCGGGTCTCTTTGGCCCGAGCTGTCTGATACAATGCCTGTGTGAAAACGGAGGAACGTGTAGCCCAGTTGATGGGACGTGTACGTGCCCAGCAGGTTGGACTGGAGCCACCTGCAGGGACAAGTGTACTGAGGGGTCCTATGGCGTTAATTGCCAGATGACGTGCAGGTGTCTTTATGGCGGTACATGCAACCCTGTTGACGGTTCATGCTCGTGTGCTCCGGGATGGGAAGGACTATCGTGTGGGGAAGTTTGCAGAGCGGGGTTCTATGGACGTGAATGCATAGAGGTTTGCACGTGCCAAAATGGTGCCGATTGCGACCACGTGACTGGGAGTTGCACCTGTCAGCCAGGTTGGGAAGGAGAGTTGTGTCAGTATATATGCAATGAGGGACTCTATGGACCTGGTTGTACTTCCAGATGCGAATGTTTGAATGGAGCTAGGTGTGATGCTGTCAGTGGGACGTGCCTATGTGCTCCCGGCTGGACGGGATCAAAATGTGAGACGGCATGTCCCAGAGGTTCGCATGGTGTGGATTGTATGCGGGAATGTCTCTGTCAGAATGGAGGGATGTGTGACCGGCAGACAGGTGGTTGCACGTGCACCTTGGGTTGGAAGGGTGTGGTTTGTGATCAGCAATGTGACGAGGGAACCTACGGATCCCAGTGTAAACACGCCTGCTATTGTGAGAATGGCGCCGCTTGCAATCACATTGATGGATATTGCACTTGCACTGCAGGATGGTTCGGAGAAATGTGCAACAAGTCCTGTCCAGCCGACTTCTACGGTCAAGATTGCTCGTCGAGATGCGAATGTGCCAGCAACGCTGCGTGTCATCACGTAACAGGGGCGTGTCTATGCGGTCCAGGGTGGTGGGGTGATTTCTGCAATATTCCGTGTCCGAATGGGACGTACGGGCACGCCTGCTCACAGAGATGTCCGTGTTTGCATGGTGCAAGCTGCCATGGTGAAACAGGTGCTTGTATTTGCCAGCCTGGCTGGTCAGGTAAATTTTGCCAGAACAAATGCAAGCAGGGCTTTTACGGCCCACATTGTAGAAATGTCTGCCGATGTCGAAATGGAGGTCTCTGTGATGCTACTAATGGTTCTTGTACTTGTCCTCCTGGATGGGTTGGGGATGAATGCCAAGATACATGTCAAGATGGATACCATGGGATTCAGTGCCAGGATAAGTGTCTGTGTGAAAACGGGGCTACCTGTGACAAAAGCGATGGTTCATGTTCATGTACATCTGGTTGGACAGGCCCCTTCTGCTCTGATCCATGTCCTGATGAAACCTTTGGTGAAAACTGCTCGTCTGTGTGTCAATGTAAGAACGGAGCGTTGTGCGACCATGTTAGCGGTCATTGTCAGTGTAGGCCTGGATGGATGGGTGAAGTCTGTGATGAGGAGTGTCGACCAGGCTTCTATGGGGATGCATGTGAGAAAGTCTGTTTGTGTCTCAATGGTGCCTTATGCGACCCAGTCACGGGTGCTTGCTTATGTCCTGCAGGTTGGTTGGGAGAACAGTGTAACCAGCCCTGTCCTGAAGGCTTCTTTGGGACGAACTGCTCCCAAAAGTGTCAGTGTGAAAACAGTGGCACTTGTAATACAACATCGGGTTCGTGCGTATGCCAGGCTGGTTGGGTAGGGGAAGTGTGCCAGGACCAGTGCCCGGATGGACAGTACGGCGTCGGATGTAGTCAACAATGTCAGTGTGCAAATAATGCATCGTGCGATGCTGGTACGGGAGTGTGTGGCTGTCTAGAAGGATGGACAGGTGGGACGTGTAATCAGCCTTGCTCAGATGGGTTCTATGGTAAAAACTGCAGCAGGAGATGCGAGTGTGGGAATAGTGGAGCTTGCGATCCTATCGAAGGGTGTATCTGTGCGGCAGGATGGCAGGGTGAAATGTGTTTGGTTCCGTGTCAGGCTGGAACATATGGAGCACAGTGTGGTAGAGTATGTCAGTGTCAACATGGCGGTGAGTGTGATCCAGTTACAGGCTGCGTTTGCCGATCAGGGTGGACGGGAGAATCGTGTGAGCACCGCTGCGTCGATGGGTTCTACGGGATAGACTGCCTGGAGGAATGCCTGTGTCTAAACGGAGGGCATTGTCACGCAGAGTTTGGTTGTATGTGTTCACCTGGATGGCAAGGACGCTATTGTAACGAGACCTGTCCGCTGGGGTTCTTTGGGGCTGGCTGCTCTGTGGAATGCCAGTGTGAGACGCACGGGGTGTGTGATCCCATCTTGGGATGTGTCTGCACGCCTGGGTGGGAGGGAAGGTATTGTGGAAGCCCCTGTGCGGAAGGGCGGTACGGACCCGGTTGTCAAAACACCTGTCAGTGTGAAAACGGTGCCACCTGCCACCACGTGGATGGTTGTGTGTGTACGAGTGGATGGAGGGGACCTCGATGTAACCACACATGCACCAACGGACGTTATGGTGAGAACTGCCTCAAGTCTTGCGGATGTGGACACAGAGGGACATGCCATCATATTCAAGGCTGCATCTGTAAGCCAGGCTGGAAGGGACCAGATTGTCGCGTTCCGTGTACGGAGGGAACTTACGGTGAAAGATGCAAGATGAAGTGCCAAAGATGCCAGCATGGTGGCACCTGCGATCACATGACTGGAGAGTGTTTGTGCCGTCCAGGTTACCGTGGCAACAGGTAGAAATTCACGGTATTTAGTTATCATCAATAAATAAGTTCGGAAATGAACCGCGGGTTGAAAAATAAAAACGATTAAATATACCCACAGGGAAACATTTTGTGTATCATCTCAAATATCATCGTCTAGTATAACATTGAAATTTCGTTTATAATGAAACTTTAAACTGGCTCATTATCTAAGTGTCGTACAAGAACATAATCCGTCCACACGAGCTCTATTTATAACTTTCTATTAATTAGGAGCCATTATCTGTTTCCAGGCCTTGGCTTCACCAACAGTTTTTGTTGGGAACTTTTGTGATAAGCAGGACGGGTTTATGCTCCAGATATTCGGTCTCTGCCGGTGGAAGGAAACTAGATTCCTCGCGTCCTAAGCAAGAAAACTACTGGGACCTCGGGGTGTTACGCTTAATTACGAATCGAGTATTAAAAGACGTCATAGCGGTGGCAAGATTAAACAAAAAAAGCCCGGGTGAAGACAGATTCAATTTGTGGCCAGTGTTAGTTGAAGTGGACTCTGTGTATTGTGCCTTGTGGTAATTCTCTTCGAGCGAGAAATGATACTTGAAACACGGATGTGTTTTGGTAGAGCCCTAGCTGTTCTGAATTGAAGAGTTTTTAAAAAAATACACATGTGGCTGCTTTCAGAAAACCAAACGTAAAAAGGGCATGGTAATTACAAACTTATTCCAACTGAAAACAAAGAAAAATAAATCTTCATGTGACAACTTTTATCTGTCACGAAGGAACAGTGGTTCACAAGAATGTTGGTTTTGTTTAAGTTAAACCGAATTACTAAAAAATCAATATCGACCTGGGGGATGAGAATAATAGGTTTTGCGTATATTGTGAACCGCTATGCCATTCTAATTTTACTCCAACAAAATCAAAATGCTGCTTATGTTCCATCGGCAAGAAGTGTACTCTAAGTCTGCTAAGTTGTCTGATAATTTCTGTTTCATCACTTGTGATTGATCCTGGCTCTTTCCTCGCGTTATGCAGATGTCAACATCCTTGTCAACCGGGAACATATGGTATGGGATGCGCCAAGCAGTGCCCTCCGTGCTTAGGAAATGCCACTTGTGACGTCATTGGCGGTAAATGCAAGCGAGGTAATTAGTCCAGCGCTCAACCTGGTTTCCATTCTGACCTTTTTAATTTTGCCCAGTATTTTTTCCCACTGTCAGTTAACTTCCTGATCAAACTCATCACAAGGGAATATGTAAAGATAATGGCCCAAACCGGAGTCCTATCACTGGAAGGCTCTGTTGCCACGTTTTACCTGGAGTGTATGGCCTTTTCTTGATAATGATAACGTCATCATTTTATCTGGTTTTCCCCTTTTCCTTTCATCTTTCCTCTCAACCAACCAGCCGAAGCGACCAGTCACCCAGACTCTGTCAGCGACGCCGTGGTCACCCAGAATCTACTCGATGACGTCATGGAGACGCCCCTCGTCATGTACGCGATCATCGCTGGGGGCGCCCTTGGCTTTGTCCTGCTGGTGATTCTGGCGATCATGGCCACCCAGAGATTGAAATGCGGCCGCCATGGTTCCTACAGGTACGCCATCTTGGTGTGCTGATGATTTCATCCGATGATTTCGTCATTCATCTGATTGCTCATATTTTCTAACTCATTCCCCTACCCTGTTTGCAGTTATACCTTCGTCATGAAATACCATCATAAGCATGCCCGCATTCACCGTGTTAATTATTACCGAGCTTAACATCATTGTGTGAAACTGATCCACTTGGAGAAAAACGATAATCAATCCAACAAAGGAACTCACCAAGAAACTTAACCTTGATCTTGGCACCGATGGGTTTGACACAACTTTAGTTCCTATGACATTTGGGCGCTATAGCTAACACCCAATGGCACCCATCAATAATAATACCAAAATAAAACAGGTTCAGAAAAGACGATTTGGTTACTGAAACTACGACCAGATGTTGCATTACGGTCTGCACGACCAATTTTACCCCAAACTAATTCAACCTAGGAATTTTTCGATCGACTTAATGTAAACATTTAAGATAAAGTCCCAAATTGATCTTCCCTATCAGGACAATGGAACGTCCCAGCGGTGTGTATGCGACTGACGTAAGCCAGAAAATGCAGACAGTCGATATAAACAGTAATAATGTTAAAGGTATGAACTTCCCACCATTGTAAGTGATTTTTTAAATATTTTTTAAATGAAAACGTTCTCACCTTTGAACATTCATATTGCTGAAGAAAATAATGCTGAGCATTTGCATTCCCTCCACAATAGAGAGTAACTCATTTTCCACCCTTATTGGAATTCATTAGCATGATTTTATTGCCATATATTCCCGCATGACATTCGTGTGGTTTGACGATTTCGCTTTGGCATTTAACGCTAACTTGAGACTGAAATTAGTGCCATAATAAACGCATCCGTTGACTAAATTGTTAACTTCAATAGAATTTATTCCATAATTTCTTTAATTCCACCTGTCCCCACAAATCCCATCAATTATTGCACAGCAATATTATCTAGTACGCAAGTCACTGATTTGTTCAGTTTAATCTCAAGTCTTCTCAAAGCTATTTTTTTTCCATTTATATATTTCATTTTGCTCCTCTCTCAGTTTACGATTCGTCGAGCCTCGGCGGACGCTACAAGCGAAACTCAAAGCGCCCTCTATCGGACTGCTTGGCCGGCAGTGCCGTCCCAGTCCAATACACCCTTGCCAGTCTCCCACGGAATCTGAGGTCACTACCCACGCCAGCTCGCCGACCCCAGCCCCTGCCAAGGAAATTTTCTGTGGTCAGACCAGCCCCTAGCCTCAACTCCATGGAGAAGCCGTTTGTGGACATCACTCCTCCCTCTTCGGTGCTGTCTGACCCCACCCCTCCTTGCTCCGTCACCAGCGAGGAGAGCCGAGAGGGCTCCGAGGCTGAGACCGCGTCAGTTCGGTCCTCGACCGTCTCCATAGTAACAGGGAGCTTCATGAGCAGCGATAGTCAGTACACCACTACCACTGGTTCATCCACTGCCAGCCCGCTTGGGAACACCGGGTACTATGTCGTGCCTGGCGGGCCAGGGGCAAAACGCAGAACACCGAACGGTGAAGTTCTGATTTGAATAAAAACTATACCGATGAAGTCTCTACCCTATCTGTTCAGTCTTGAACCATTTGAGGCAACCTTGTTCCCTGGGTGTCGAGCAGTACGCTCTCACCACTACCTGTTCTTACTATTGGACAAGAGGTTGAAAATAAAGTAAGCCCTGGGGACGAGGTTACATTGGAGGCGCTGTGAGCAACAAGCTAGCAGAAGTGTGTGGATTCCGTCTTCAGATTTTTTTGACATGCAAGAGAATTGTTTGTTTTAGATAAATGGCTGTCTTGAAACGGAATCCCTTCTCTGGAGACAATTGTATTAAGATCTACTCGTGACTTGTATTTCTAAGCTACAGGCCCAAAGATCGATTTGAATACACCAGAAAAGCGAAAATATCTTCATTATGTCCTCCGCCATTAAAACGTTTTGTCAGACATACTCCATCGTTATCAACACACGTCAAACGGATGAAGGGAAACAAATATAACAATAACAATAATACTGGATTGGACATTTGGGAGACATCCCCATAGACTTGTGCACAACATTTTTCAAACTGAAATGTGCCCTAACCCAATATTCCCTTGTCCTTTTTCCATGAATTTGGCGGTATGTTTACTAATTAGACCACGAGCAACAAATATAACTTAATTGCGACAGCAAAATTGTGCGTCTAAAGGGGGGCTGTGACATTAGGGAGACATGAAAATGTCTCCCTAATGACAGATGTCTCCCAGCTTACAAAGAAATTACGATACTGTGTCTCCTTAGTGGTACCTTTACACGTACTATCATACTAACAACAATACTCTTTTGTTTTGGCAAATGAAATAATATCTCAGTATATTCTATGAGTTCTACTAACATTGATCATCTGTCTTTCTTCCGTTTACCAGCACACGGATGCCTTTCAGGATGTCAGGCCAAATTTGTGTTTTCTTAAGAGGTAGCTGGCAGCATTCCAAAAGCTTGTACATGTACAAGTATTTAAATCATGTCGAAATTGTTCTCTAATTGTGTAATGGTTTTTTCCCGGGAGATGATTGTTGACTTATTTGTATATCAGAAGACGATAGCTTGTAAATAACTAAAAAAGAAATATTTTCTCCTGAGTCCTGATGATCATTGACTGATTTTCAACAACGTCAACAACACGAAGTATATCGTTACATTGTAAAAGGGTTTCATTGTTTTCTCGCAAAGCAGATAGTTTCAATAGTCTGTAACGGATTTTGAGCTTGGTATTTTATTTGGAGAAAAGAGAAAATGAAAAACGCGAGTGTTCCTATGCAGCTTGAGAAACTGTATTTTAGCGGCTTAGACGAGTTCTTCGCTGACGGTTCAAAAAGAAAATATAGAAGAAAAATATGTGTTCATTCATCATCAAAACAGTATGAGTTTTCTCCCTCGACGGTGCGATCGTTGTTATTATTTATACTCAGGAAATAAAGCTTGTAAATAGATATATTAAATATTGTACAGGTACAACCAAACAGTTTCTAAAGTTGTGATTAATGATGTAATAATTTGCTTGGGTATCGAATTATTTTTTTTTAAACTATCGGGAGATTACATGTATAATTCACCGCATAATCTTACCCAGGGCCGATAGTCTCAAAAGGGAGCGCATGAATTCTGACCTTTTGATTTTACAACCGACTGAATTAATGAATAAGGGGGAAAAATAAGGGAAAGGAAATCGGCAACACTACACGAAAAAAAGGCCCTGGAGTTCGCCTGTCGTCAATCAAAAGAGGGCGATGTGTAGGTTTGCTGTCCAGATGAGTTATTGGTGCAGACTGTAAAACGACTCCCATGGACCTCAGTGATAATTACGCATACTTCAAAAATTATTTAAAATACTGACAACTCTGCAAGGTACTTGAGACACCCAGGAAATTAAAGCTTACCTCGTCATCTTTCATTTTCTGTTCACTTGTGGGTGGTTATCCCATGACTTTTAGGAGAAAATTCAATCCAAAGATGATCACCCCTAAAAGTAGTCCTGTGGCCCATCGCCATTTTGAAAAATGATGCCTGCGCTACATTGCTAAAATAGAGCAATTTTGGGGCCCAATTTCTATTCCGAATTACAATTTTCATTACATCCGAATTTCACAGAAACACGACTTCACACTCCTGTGCACGGCTTCCACCCATGTTTTTTTTGCAAACCTTCAAGTTCATGGTCCACAAAATGCTCTATTAAATAAAGAATTTGAGGGCATATTTGGCGTGGCCCGCGTGGACAATTCGGGGCCTATTGACAGGTATGCATCCCTTATGGTACATACCCTGGAATGGGACAAACAATGCGCTCATGAGGCCGAGGCCCAAATATAGGTGTGGCCCAGAAGATTTTGGTATTCAAGACGTTGCCTTGCTCAATGCCCGACGATTCTGTCTTCAGGTATTGAAACTCTTTCTACGTCTCCAGATATTTTAGCATTCCGGTGAAATTCAGGCTACACCCCTCACTTTCTGTTTTCTGTGTTTTTACAAGGTAAAAAGCAAAATATGCCGTTCGTGCCTGTCATAATTATGTGACAAAAAGGGCTGCATACATACATTGAAAATGCATTAAAGCACTTCGCTCGTTACATAATAATTGTAGGCATATCGTGATGTAGACTATACAAGAAACTGAGAATGCGCAGAAATATCTCTAAAGTGCTTCAATCCTATAGTTAGATCCTTACCCTGCTGGTCAAAATGTGTGTAAGATATGAAATAAAACTGAAATTCTATGATTTTTGAAAACCAGATTGTGCTTCTTTGATTTATTGGGGAGATAATGTTTTGTTCTCTTAAAAGGTTCCTAATTTAATTTGTAATTTAATTACGGCTTGTCTCAGATTTTGTGAAGACGGCATATAAGCTTTGGGATAATAGTGGGAATATAAGGAAAGACGATTGCAATGGGAACTTGATTGCTTGCGTAGGCTACACAGGTTCAGTTTTACGCATCTAACAAACAGTTGTTTTCACTGGGAGATGGAGACGGCGGAAAAAAATAATGAAGCAAAACGAAAGAAAGTCTCATGTCGTGCAAGAAGGGTAGATACATTGTGAGACAAAATATTTTCCGGTTCTAAGCTTCAACTCAAGAAAGTGGTTTTCAGGTGTTTTTTTTCTGTGGTCTTGTTTGGATAGGAAAGTTACTTTAAAAGAATGTCTTTAAAGAAGACTTTTATGTATTGCTATTTTCCCGGCATTGCAACATTATTCCCTTTTGAATAAAACAAAATATAGAATTCTTTGCGGCAGTTTGTCTTTTGTGCATTAGGCCTAATGGCGCAAAATCAAATTCAAATTTAATCAATTCCTTAAGAAGGTTGCAGACTTCCAAACAAAAACATTGAAAAAGAAAAAAAAAAGACTATTCCCCGTCAAACTAAACATAGGCCTACATGTCAAATCGAAAAGGCGTCAGAAAAAAAATTGAATTCGTTGAAGAGCTTCGACAGTTTAATGACTGCACCAGCGCGCTGCAAAGCGCGCCCTCTTGTAAATCTGTGGCAAAAACATAATAGACTTGACTAAGTCTTTACAAGAAGTATAGGACAAAATGTGTTAATATTATCACAATGAAAGTATTTGCTTTATCAACACACAGTTCTTATCAATACCATAAATGAAAAAAAATAAGGGCGATACTTTGATAGTCAAATCCAATCAGAAAAATGAAATTTTTAAAAGAATTAATTATACCACCATTTAACAATTGAACTAAGGGACTTGTGCAACCTTAGGTCACGTTGATCAACATAAAACTGCCTGGTGGCTGTTTTTGCATTTTCCCCACTGTACATTGATACGGCAGGGAGAGTCGGGTACCAGACCAATTGATTGACAATCGAAATTCGCTGCAGGTGTGCATGCACGTTCTTCGTACACACACACGACGCATTCGGAGACTTGGACTTGGAAGAATTCGTCGAATTGAAAACTGGTGAAGCAGGTAAATTACTTATCTAAATAATCAGAGACAAATTATTGGAATTCTGCGAGATTTAAAGTTAATATTTTCAGTGTAGATCCATGTTGTCTGTTTCAATAATGCATGGAATCTTCAACATGTTCAAGAATCATTTCAAATGCCATTCCGCATTCGTCATTCATGTCTGTGGCTGTGAGTGTGACCTTTCTTTATTTTGGCTCAACATGTTGGGCGATCGTGTACTGTAGGGCCCCTGTTTTGTTTTGATCAAATTAGAGTCGAAAATGTTTATTATTGTTCAAAAATCACCTTTACAATCAAAAGTAGACTTTTCTAAATTCTAATGACACCCGTTTTGCAATTTTGAACAGTTTCTTAAAACGCAGTGGCTATTGTTACGGCAGCCGTAACGCATTTCCCATTTTCTATCGTTACGGTAGACTGCAACCTGGCAACTTTTATAAAAAAACATGACAAGAAAATATAAAATAAGAAGGAAAAAAGTGAATTTGAACTTTATGAAATTCGGACTTTATTTCCCTTTTAAAAAAAATCCTCCAAAGCCTCAGGTTAGAAAAGGAAAAAAATTCGAGTGCAAAACTGAGATTCGAACCCGCAACCTCGCGGTGCAAAATCCTACTCTCTATCGGCTGAGCTGGCGCACTGCTCGATAAAACGTGGGGAAACAAATAATTATATACCTGCGTGCGTATCAAAAAAATATCGTAGAGGGCGCTAAACAACGAGTGCCGTAACGATAGCCACTTCGTTCTTAAAAAAAATCTTAGGGTAGAAATCACGATTTTCCTGCGCAGTTTGTGTCTTGCGATTCAGCGCGTCGTGTGTGCTCATGGTAAATCGCGCGGTGATCGCCATCTTTATTTTTGGGTTGGGTGTTCATGTTGTCGCCACGCTGCTTCGTCATTTTATCCCCAAATTTCCCTAAATAAATCAAACCCTGCCCTCTATCTATATACAGTCGAGTCTCGTTAATACAAACTCGTTCGGACCTAGCCAAATTGTTTGTTATATCAGAATTTTGTATTAAGAGGAACATCAGACCATGGAGGAAGCTCCATGATCAGACCCATTCATTGTGCACATAAATGCACAGTCGGGACTAAGGCTTTATGTTTGTTATAACCAGGATTTTGTATTAACAGACAATGACAGAGTTTGTACTAACGAGATTCGACTGTATATATCTACATGTATGTCCATCATTATTAAGAATGTCACCAACTACATGTAGTTTGGTCGGTCTGATAATTTTAAAGTGGATTCTGTTCCCGTATAAATAAGGAACCGGGCCCTGCACTACACGATTGCCACATGTTCAACCATGGTCGATGCAGCAAAAATGGCCAGCTTGGTCTTCACTGATCTTGTGTAGGCCTACGTGGTAGCTATTTTCAAGACACGATATTCCAAATAGCAGTTAGCACCGATCCACGACCACATACCGAAATGTCTATCCTCTTAATTATCAGACATTGTCAGAATGGAATCTAACAGCCACTTCAAATTAGGCCTAGAGCCTACGTACAATTTACATGTAGAACCCCATTCCTATACCTAACTTTGGAAATGACACAGACATTGTTGGTCTCACAAAATTCCATGGAAATAGCTATATATATGTCTGATTGGAATGCCCATTACACCCCCCGCCCTGGTCCCATCTGCCCATAAATGTGACTGAAATACCGGACTACCTCCGTATTACCTCCGTAGTACATATGTGCATGGATGGTCCCGTTGCTAGGGGGACCGAACATCAATTTAAGATCGAAATTATTTTGTCACTTGAAAATCACCCTAGCCATAGTACGAATGCTAAATAGCAAAAAAAACGTTGAATTCTGTACCTTCAGAGGTCTAGTTATCTAGTAATCACATGTGGTAATTCGGCGACGAATTCCGACGGTTTCAAAAAAGCATGGTGTCTCTGATATTTACCAGACTGTTTCCCGGCCCCCCTAAAATAGTCGCAAGGCCAGTGGGGTCGGGGAACCAGACTACAGAGCTTTAACCATCCACTGAGTGTGCGTCAACTTTGGCAAAGTGCACCGCGGCTTCTTTTCTATAATTTTGAAATTGAATAATCAATAAATAAATTAAATAAACCAGCTGTCACTGTGTACTTACATGTATTTCATTTTTGGATTGATGACATGACAATAGACATATGTACAAACTGCACACGTACTCGTGTGTACAAAATGGCGGAAAGATTTCCATATACGAAGTTCACTAATTGTCCTCTGTATTGACTAACAAGCCCCCAGATAGCAATTTCATGTCATCAAAGTCAATTTGAGCAGTGAGAAAATACAAGCATTTTCTTAGAAAACACTTAGAATTTTGCAGTCCAATCTCATAGGGTTTGTATACATGTACACAGGGTGTTGAGTGAACTTCGTATATGGAATCTTTCCAAAATGGCTTTAAATCCATCGAGGGTATCCTACTGGCAGTGCCATGGTGACTGACGTACAACATTGCTGACAATTCAACAACTTTTGGGTGCATAATAAAAGTTATAGGCCTAATCATTTGTGGATTTTTAACTCTGATAAAGTTAGTTAAAAGAAATTATTCATCCAACTTTTTGGCTGTGTAGAAATTGGCTCGAAACACCATAATGTTGGATATACATACATGTACATGTATGTACTCAGACAAATTGATTTTTTGTGTACTTATTAATTAATTTTTCAGTTAAAAGTAACAGCCGAACTGTTGAATTTTGTTAGAAATAAACTACATATTTCAATAAATATGGATAAAGAGCTTAAAAACGTGTTTCATTTTGTGGCATGTGAATTTTAAAATTTTTTTTTTATATTTTTGTTATAAAGTTTTGGCATTTGAGGTCATACCGTGAAATTTGCCCATTTGTCAAGATCTAAGCATGTATGCAGGACTTCAGTCAATTTGCCTGGAATTCCCCACATGTTTATGTGCATGTGAATTCATGCATTCACCTACATTCAACAATTTTCATTGTATCCTACATATGTACATGTACATAAAACTGATCGCGTGCTGTACGTGCATGCACTGTGCTTCATGTCACATTGCCTTAGGCGCTTTCCGATTTCCAAAGAACGCATAAATTAAGTCACTATTAGCCACAATCACTGGTACACCTCCCGCCAACACTGCCCATTGTGTACCCATTCTTCACTGGTGTTTGACCCAGGTTACCAGCAACAACTCATTGTGAAGTTAACTTCCTATTGGTGGCTGCAAATACCACAGATCGATACCAGATCAATGGGGGAGGATTGGACTAGTCCTGTCTGGACCATGGCTTCACATTCCATGGACATGATAAATGTAGATCCTCAGTTCAATGAAGGGTGTTGAAAATAGTTGGGCGTAAAAAATCTTGAAGGGAGGGGCCAGATTCAGTGTTTTTGGTACAAAGTGTGGACGTAGATTTTGAAATATCAAGAGAAGGACTTCGAATCTAAAATATGTGTATGGTTTTAAGTGCATGTTTACAGTGTGAATCGAGGACACACACATGCAACATCATCGATAAATTGAGGGCAGGAACCAAATCGAGGATGACCTCGTTATGAAAACGTGTACAAAACCAATAAGAGCTGTTGCAAAAAATTTAGTAACAAAGGAAAAGGGGAGAGGAACAATAGAAAATCCTCGATTTGCACCATAAACAAACCTGCTGGGACATGCAGTTGTAATCTTTTTTATTTTGGGAGAAGGAGGGAAGTTTATGTACATGTACATGTACACAGCCATTAGGCCTCATCCCCCCCCCTCTCCCCCCCCCCTTACCCCACCCCATCACAGCACACCCATGGCATCTCCATGTATTGTTTAGATGGAGGGCTCACTACATGTGTATTTGAACACAACTTTTGACCGAAAATTGCAACAACATTTCTGTGTAGAAGTGGAGAATGACCCTAGAGACTTTAATAGGTTTTGTATTGAAGCATCAAATTTCTTGTGATATTAATTTATGAGTTGTTGAGGATATGATCTTGCCTGTGGATATGACCTGTGAATAGTAATACATGTACATGTATTAAAACAATTCTACAATACATGTAGGCCTATAAATTTTGTAGTAGTTTATAGACCTATAGGCCTACCGGTACATGTACATTTAAAATCCCTATAATACAGAAAATACAGAAAATCTGCTGTACAGCAAATGTGAATCCCACTGAGTCCAAGCAATAGTTTTTTTTATGTAACTGTCGCGATCAAGAAAATCCTACAGAATTTGCTGGCTGTTGGATATTGTAGGAATTAGGAAGGCTAGAAGTGAAATCTAGGACCAAGTATAATGGCTCCTTGATTTCAATGGAGGCTGGTCTCCGTACACAGATGTACAGAGATTTAAGCCCAGCCCCTTGGTTTTCTGACCAATCACAGCCATGATTTAAGTCCGACATGCATACACAAAAGTCGGACTGCGTGCACACGCAAATGATGCGCACTGCTTTGAAAATGCAGTGTGGCACTAGAGTGGAGCATATGTGCTAATTTCCATACAGTGGGTGGGGCTTAGTACATGTACATGTACTGCTCGGTAGGTCAGTCTGCAATAATATTATGTAGGCCTTTACAGTTTCAGGCTTTTTCCATACAATATACTGGCACCACACCTGTGTGTATAGCCTACTTTTTTCCATTCATGTGCCTCAAATTTCAGACAAAAATATCCGAGCCCACTGACATCCCTGCACGTACATGTATACAGACACCAAGCCATGATATGACTCACTGAGTTAATGCAGGAAGGGCTCCGTCCAGCTCTTCTTCACTTTGCCTGTTATTATTGCTTGAGGTGTTAAGACTTCACAGCCGCCTTGTTCCCCTGCGTCAAGATGTCACCAAGAAAATACAAAACTAAACAGCAGCATGAAAAAGCTCATTAGGTATTCGGGACCTGGTGGGATATAAACTCACACATGCACAAGCACATACTTTTTTGTTTGTGAATGAATGAAACAGTCTGCAATAAATAATTACTGCGCTCACATCGGCAGAGCGACTTATTAATTTATTTCGCCGAGCGTCAATTAAACGCTAGTCAGTAATCCTGAGATTCCCTTCTGACGCTAAGAGATTTGATGAGAAAACAAAGACAAATGAGATTTCTTAATGGGTTTTTCATCTTCTTCCTTTTTTGTTTGCATCGTGGGGTGATCACGGCTTAATGACTCCGTCCCGATTCAGCTAGAGAAAACAACCATCTCGGAAATGAGTTGATTAACCCCAGTGTCTTAAGGTGGAAAGCGACGATGTCTGCACGAAAATCTGCAGCGATGTTTTTGCGTCATAGATGTTTAAAACTTCTCCCTTAAGGGCTGGATCTGGGAGATGTTTTGAAAACCCAATTATTACCGCTGTCTAAATTGGTGGTAAGCGTCTTTGGAGTGTTAAGGAGGATTTAGTCGGCGCGAGCCGTTAGGATTGTCTGGGCTGGGGTGCACTTAGCGTCAATTAAATGCACTTTAATGTTGAGGTTAAGCACACTGCACTTTTGTCAGTGCATCCTGGAATATAGTTTATATTTTTTTGGGGGGGGGGGGCAGGGGTGGTTAGTGGAGGAGTTTAATTAGGGGGATAACCACGGCTCTGAGTCTGAAATGTACAAATATAGTAGGAAACTCTGTTTGAATAGCATTTTTTTTGGAAGTACTTTTTCAATACTCCAAAAGCCATGCTATTGTCTCTTTCGATACACCTTATGATGTTCTTGACCTTGTACAGGGATTCTCCTGATAACTTATTTATTTCCCGTAAAGCCATTTCTCCCTGTGGAAACTAACTTGCTATTGTCTCCGTTTTTCTTTGATATCAGTTCAGATTTCATTGTGAGTTTATAATTTCTCTGTCCAAAGTTTTGAATCGCCATCACAGCTCAATGTATTAATTAAGTTGGCATGTTGACTGCCATGCTATTAGTTTTAACAAAACATTTAAAAAAAAATGCAAATTGACCGCTATAGTCTACATACATGGAATAGACCTTTGCACATGCGAGCAGATTCAGCGATTAATTAGGCAAAACAAGACTGCATCTTGACCTTAAGATTTTGACCATTGTATCGAGTCTTCCGTAACCCGTGTTCGTACTTAAAATACAGAAGCATGTCAGCTAAATCGACCGATCAACATCTAAGTCCGCAATTCTGATCAAAATGACGTCACAATTTGTACTGTTGACACCGATTGGCTGGTGCGCAGAGTTGCATAAAATTTGCATTGCTCAGATAGGCCTATATCAGACATTGGTTATGGAGAGGGCTCTTTTGAATACGGGATAGTCGGACTAAATGCCGCAGGGAATTAAAACCCAAACTATATTATATTTTGTGACTCGAAACCTCGCTCGTATTCATCCACCTTAGATTATGTGCTGATGGAAAGTTACATTAGCATTAAAACACATGTACATAGGCCTATGCTTTCAAATATTCAAATGTTGAATCATGCAACAGATATCTGAATAGCATTTTTGTTTGATTCAAATATTCGAAAAATGTAAGCAGTCTCAAAGAGATGATGAAAGTTTGTTGACTTCAATGTTATTTTAATCGTATCTATATAAGTTGCCACTTTACACACATAATTTTAGAGCTTCTATGTGGAACAGGGGCTCAAATTTCTTGTTTTAATTCTGTCAAAAATAAGTCATTCCGCTACCTTGAAAAAATAAATCAACACGTACAGGAAACGACTTCTTTTATCTTAATAAGCTCTTTGTCAATTTTCGACAAGCTCAGCTGAACACAAATCTTGATGGGTGGCCACTTTAGGCTTTAAAAACTTGTTCAGCGCATTTCAAATATTGTTCAATCAAGTCCAAGTTTGGGTAATTGAAAAACTAAATTATTTGAAAATTCACAGCGCTAAATAAACAGTGGCTAGCAAAACAACCTCACACTTTCTGTATTTGCCTGACCAGAACGAAGATGGACAATTGTGGAGGTCATGCAATATTGTAATTTTTGTAGTTGTAAAAAATATGCAATTAGATTATATTTCACATATCTAATGCAATTTGTTCCGAAACTACATTGATGTCCATGTTCATGTACTGTTCTGTACAATGCACTACATGTATGCTTACTCCATTGGATATCACTTTTACTTAAAAGGATATTTGCATTTAAATGTAATCCTGAATTACTTTGGTAAATTAAGCGTTAATTGAGACAAGAGCACAGTGCACCACACACGGGGACGGAGTCCATTAGGCCGGTCAAACAATAAGCTGTCCTGCAGGGTATTGTTGCCAGGGTACAATATGTATCGTTGAATGAATGCTGACTATGTACGTCATTTCTCTTGGCTTACTAATTGCCTGGCTTTGAATCTTTCATCGGCAAATGTGTGTGCTTCCGTGAACCTTTGTCAGTATTTGTGTAAATTTCTAAATGATAGATTTGCCCAAGGGATGAAGTTTTCTAGAGGTCTAGAAAAGTGCCGTACATGTACATGTATTTACCTTGCATGAAAAATGTAGAGGATTTTAAGAAATTGTTTTGCCAATTTCCCCACATCAAGATTCACATTCACATTCACAAACAAAAAGGTTTTGAAAATTTCTGTAAAATTACCTTATGTAAATTTCTAAGACTGGAAACATTTGTCTAGTTATTTACTCAATACAAAGAATTTTTGTAATTTTTTAAGGATACGTTACTTAAGGGAAAACACACTCACACCAAACATGTACGTGTACCAGTATGCAAGCGGTTACCGGGATCAGATGGAGAGATTTCTGGATAAATCTTTCCCAACACATTTTGTTAATAATAAATAATAACAGTACTGGAGAATTGCACTCAGCAACGCAGTAAGCCTTAAGCCACGCCAGCTGTTGACGTGTGCATAAATAATTGTATTTTGCCCGCATGCTGCGTGGCTCACATTGATTTCGCAAATTAATCCATGCTATTGATTCTTCGGCGGGGAGCTGTGCATGCCAAGCCTGGGAATCTGTGCACCGACAGATTTTATTATTCGTTGTTGTTTTTTTTCCGTTCTCTCGTTCTCTCGCTCTCTCTGGCTTTTCTGATTCATTTTGAGGCCGTGGTTGCTGCGCTGATCAAGTGTTAATTCTGTCGTTCTCTGTGTCACTTTCACAGAACGCTGTGCTGAAGAGAAACTGACTGTGGGGAACACAGGTAAATATCAATCACTTTATTCCTGGAGGCTTGCACTATTCCTAGTAAATCTACAAATAAATGAAAATCTTACAGCTTACAGACAAATATGGAGGGTGAAATGGCTTTCAGATAACCGAACATTCAATGGTCATTCACAATATTTTTTTTGGAAACTAAAAGTACTGTCCAATTGAAGGTGACAACTCAAAACGAAGCTGTTTTTATGTCTTTCACTCTTAAAACAAGGTATTTTTTTGGTACCGTGGGGTATGTTACATGTCCACGAATGCATAGGAAATTCTGGTCCTGAACATGATGGTTTGTTATTTAGTATTAGATAGCAGTATTGTACATGTACGTACATACCAGGACGTACATGTACATGTGTAGACAGAAAATGATGCCTCAATGATGTTAAGTAATGTTCCACTGGAATATGGTATAAGGATTTATTTTTGCACATTTAGGAAGGGTATTTCAAAAACAAAATATACAATATATAAATAAATACAAAAATTTGTACATGTAGACGGTAGTAAATAAATGAACAAATTAATAAAATAAATTTAAAAATCTATCTGAGTTAATCTGAGTGTTAAAACATACACTAGTAATACTATGTATTGATGGATGCGGTGGTACATTGTATATTCTTCAAAAATGGATTCTTATTTACCGTTTCTGTTGAAATTCATTACTTAATCCCTTCGGAAGGCAATGAAAAACATGATGCCAGCTCATAATGGTCTACAACTTGTTTACACAATATTTAGGTGTACATGTACACATGTTAGGTTTCATTAATGCAAATCCTTGGTAAGCAATGCAACTCCGTTTGCTTGAGCTTTATAGAGGACAACACGTCAGTTGTCCAGTTGTCGTCAAATTGTAATTAACCCGCTGAGGTGTTCAAAGAATGTACACACGTATATGTACATGTAGGTGCCTGAAGCAGGAAATTACTGTAGGCCGATGGCGCTGCAATAACGAATGCAAGACGGAAAATACGTACAGTGTACAAATGTAGGTGTTGATGAATCAAGCTCCAAATTTAAATCAAGGCCCGTAGATTGCCTTGATTGACTGAGATATACGTACGCTTCGACTCAAATATTCTGATCAGGCAAGTTTGTGATTAGTTTGTGAAAGTTGATTAGCCGGCAATCACACATGTGCCTAGCCCCATAAATGTGGCCAATTTACTGGACTACCTCTGTAAATAAAGACCACACTTCCACCATGTACAAAAACATGTCGAACTTTGTCAAATTTTGATTTTCACATTTAGGCTTAGTTTGTTGGTTTTTTTGGGCTTCAGAAGCATACTCACCCTCTTGATAGGCTAATCAGAAAGTGCTGCCTTTTTCAGATGTCTAATTTTCGTGAAATTTCATGTTGAAATTTTGATACGCAAACGAATCTGGACATTTCACGCAAAATAGACATCTGAAAAAGATGTCTCGGAATATAGGTCTACAGCATTCACTGAGCTACATTATGTAAAAATTCATCGTAATAGTTGTTAAGATTTTGAGCACTTTTGTTGCTTCAATGCATTACAAACAAAATGCACAAATAACAAATCATACCCGACCTTTAACGAGCAATGGGCTAATGTACAGTGCAGCCTACTGGTGTACATGTAGTGTAACACTGCATGTACCCTGTAAATATGGGCAGGAAAATTATGCCTCTACATGTAACAAGTTACATGTACATGTTAAAACAAGGCGTCGATTATCGACCCTGTTTAGTTTGAATAAAATTGATGTCACGTAAGAGCGTAAATGCATTTTTCATCGCATTTTAAATTTTAATTTTTGAAAAGGGAATCGAAGATACATTTATTGAAGTTTAATATTAATGATGCACTTTCTATGTACATGAAATCATGGCGGAACTTTTGTAGGTTGTTTGGTTAGGTGCGGGCGATTTAAATCATGCAGTTGACACAAATCTGTCAAGTGAATGAATGGAGCAGAACTTGACAGACGCGGTACACGCGTGTAAAAGCCTGCAGCAGTAATGTCAACCGCAGCGCAAAGATTCCGTCGACTCAAACCAAGAGATATTGGCAACTAAGACAAATGGCTTGAAAAACTATGGATGAAGGAGTAGACTATTCTTGCAGGCACAGCATCAAGCTCTGCGATTGCGTTCTTGTCTTGTCAGATTTTTTTTGTTATCCAGAGTCTCTTCAGGACGTGAAAAGGAACAATTTACTTTACCGATCAGTGCTGGGCAGTTGTATTGTTGGACGGGATAATTGCAACGACTGGTAATTGTTTTGTTAGGGCATTGTGGCGGATGTCGCACATTCATCAAAGCCCGTGCACGACTGCACGTCCACATTATGAGTTTGTTTTTTCATTCGCTATTCATACGACAAATTCCATTATGCTGCCACGTGCACCGTGCATTAGCCACACTGCGCCGCTCTCTTTGTCTGCCGCTGTCGACTTGCGCACCGGCTCGGAGAGAAGTGATGTTTTGTATTGATTGTCAATGCAATACAAATCTCTGCTTCTCTCTGTTTGAATAAAAAAGGGGAGAAAGGGTAGAGGTATTTTTGATGTCTGTGTTGGCGGTGGTGTCGATGAAATTGTTTACGGGTTACTGATTGCATTGTTGTTCTACGTCATTTGAATAGAATTTTGATGAAGGTGATATATCAGACAGATGTCATATTGATCCATTGAAGGGCGATTCTCATATTATGTTTCAATGATGTGGCCCTCCATACTTTGTGAATTTGTAAATTACTCAAGTTTGCACGCATGTGCTTGTACATGCATGTATGTGCAAGCATTTCTTTTGCTCTTGTCTTCATTGGCGAGAGGCAATAATAGGTGGACTCGGAGGCGAAAGGCTCTTTCTCTCGAGAACGATCAGAGCTCAAATTCCCTTAGTAGTTGGTTTGTAATTCGGCGAATCAGTGAATGGATGCGTACGAGCATTGACACGACACACACACACGCATGGTTGCTATTATTCGTTGGTTCAGTGCATGACATCGCGTAGCTCTGCAATCGGCTAAAAAGAGCGCGTGTTCGGGATCCTGATTTTGGGCGCAAACCAAAATATGACTTGGTAACTTTTGAATTGAAATTGAGATCCCAGAATATTGTTTTCTCAGAGTACTTGTATACAACACTCACAGAGCTAACGCTTCATCAGGTTAGATGTTAAGCACTCGTCTTCAGATTTTGAGCACTTACATTGCTTCGGATGAAACAAATGACAAATGATCTACATGTACTCTACCTTTATTAGTAGCTCTATGAAATTGGGCCCCTGATCAAGAGTTTACACATGTAAAAAGTGCACAGCATTTCAGCTGCAATTCTTCAGCCCCACACCCTCTCCAATAAGCAGTGAAGCTCAAAGTATAATCCGCCCCTCATTCCCAGTAATCCATAGTTATTTCATTAGCTGTTTGGGGAATAGGCCTATGCCTGATTAATTCCTAGTCTGGCTTTGACCAAGGAGCATGGGCAGACCCAGGGGTGTGTTTAGTAGGAGTAATTTGCTTAGAGCTGGGAGGACAATTTTTGCCCCGCACTCTGCATTGATTATAAAGTAATAGACGCACACGGTACAATGCGTCATTGCAAGGGAGCCCTCTGGAGGTAGTTAAGATCCAAGGCGGACAGTTGTGCAAATTTTGAAGTGGAAAAAAACAGAAGTGATGAGTGTTTTGCACAGCATAACACTTTATCTTGTTTAATCTTCAATTTTATGGGTTCAGAAAATAGAAGCTACATGCTTGTATTTTAATTTCTTTTTAGATTTAATTTAAGGTTATTGAGTTTCTTACCCAAGGATAATGCACACTTAAAAGTACACATACCTTGATTAAATTCTGCAGTAATAAAAGTTTATCAGAAAGCCTGCAGATCGTCCTTGGCATTAATTGCTAATTCTCCATGTTCACACATGTACATGTACATGTAGTAGGGTTGCACCTGAAATGAAGTGTTCAGTAAGGTGCAACTGACCACATATTTGTTCGGAGTGGATGTACATGTACACCTATATTCACACATACCCAAACGGGTCAGGTGCAATCAATGAATAATTCCTGGACAGCAAACAAGCAGCACTAGTGGTGGGAGAAACCGGAGATTTGATTTGATTTATCCTACTTTTTTTTTTCAAACGGAATAACGGTTACACTTACAGGGATGAGATTTTTCAGACTTTTGTTTGAATTCAGACTTTTTGAATCTGAGAGAAAGACATTATCAGTATAGAAGGAAATACATTTTTCAGACCTTTCATCCAATTTTCAGATTTTTTTGAAATTGACAATCTCATTTCTGTGGTTATCTGATTTCACTGGAAGTTCCCATCCACTTGACAGTCAGGCGCAACAAAAAGTGGCAAGTGAAGTGCCGCCCAATGACTGGGTATACTTTTCAGGATTCAGTGACCACTGGGCCTTTACAAAAACACTCCAGAGCTGTAATGTTGAAAACATTGGTGGGCAGTGCACTGTCTGATAAGTCGTATGGGCAGGATATACCAAGAGGACCACTAGCAAGTGAATGCAGTCAAGGGTGGTTTCGAATATCGGGTTTACAAAATTGAAACCGAATACAAGTGAAATTCATTTCAAATTGAATGTTAAAAAAAAATCCAGATTTAAGTCCCACCACTAAGCGGCACTGTGATAAAAACTTAATTAATTTCATTTTTTTTTTCTCGAAAAATGTTTGAGATGGCTCTGAACGAGATACGGATTGCAGAAATTAGAATGTACCGGTATGGTGATGCTGAGCATAATGAGCATATAATTATTAGGATCTACCTGATACAAATGTACGTACCGTACATTATGTGTGCTCATTGGGTATTTCAGTATGGAGCTAGACCCCAGTGTAACCAACACTTAAATTTGTGGAAGACTGATCATTTAAGTGGCATTTGGATGAATCACTGCCTCTTCCATATCAGCTGGGGGGGGGGGGGGGGGGGGAGAGATAGAGAAGGGGAATTGGCATCAAGCAAGGATGGAAAGGATGGTATTGAAGACATTACCAATTTTAAATGGTACATGGAGTGTAAATTTGGAACAGTATGATAGATCTGCAGGAAAAAGAAATCCATTTCATGTTTTTTTTTTAAACGTTTTGGAGCAATATCCTGCATGATACTCCTAGTCTTTATTGATTAACCCTAACCCCCCTCAATCCTCTTTGCGGTTTTGGAGGATTTTGGAGGATTGAGGATGAATGGTGTTTGAGAAACACAAGGATTTCGGAGGATTGAGGATGAATGGTATTTGAGAAACGTGAGGATTTTGGAGGATTGAGGATGAATGGTGTTTGAAGAAGAGGAGGATTTTGGAGGATTGAAGATGAATGCATTTTTTTGAGGCAGGACTGTTTGACGATTTTGAAGGATTGAGGCACTGGGTATCCTTCATTTGAACATAAGTACAAGATTTTGGAGGATTGAGGATGGTTCCTGTATCCTAGCTAAAATGGCCGAGGGGGTTAGGGTTAAAAAAGGTTTTTTGTTTTGTTTTCAAAAGACATCAGAATTTGATGCCAGCCAGTGAATTAAGGTAATTGAAAGTATCATTAAGCGTGCAAACTGTACCATGCGCTAAAAGAAGATCCATTCATTTCCCTAATTTTCGCGCCCACTCGCACAAAGTGGCCCCGTAAATGAAATAAATTTGGCTAAATGCATGATAAATTAGCATAAAATCAATGCAAGGGGAACCATGAGGGTAAAGCAGGCAGAGCTCTCCCGATAGTCGGAGACCCTTTTGTTTGGATAGCTGACGCTTCTTCCTGTTTGGACCTCAATGTATCTACTGCGTTTCCCGATACTCGATCAATTATGTTTTCGTGCTGCTTCGCTTCTTTTTTTTTTCGGAAAAAGAATCTCCAGCGCCCGGACCATGGATTATGAGAAAGAAACCCGATACTCTCTGTTCACTCCTCTTCCATTCTCCTGTCTATTAGCTTTATCCTTTCCTTTCTCGCTGTTTTCTCCATAGCTGGATTTTCAATTTTTTACTTTCTCTCTGCCTCTCTCTCTCTTTCTGAAGAGGTTTTTATTTTTCTTACCATTGATAGCGGACTGTTATTCTATAACCTCCACCTCTTATGTACGTGTACATGTACCTTCTAAATGGTGATTTTTGTCTCTGATAAAATTTGACGTGGGGCTCGTTGGCCTCCTCAGGAAAATTCAGTATAAACCCTGCTTAATGATGCCCCTCCTCATTGCATCTGGTGAAGTACTGGTAGTTGTAGAGCTACGAAAGCTCATGCACATTCTATTCTCTAATTAGTCATTTAAGTGCTACCTGACTTTTACTAGATTTTTGTGTGACTAACACGGCTGCCCACCACTTTTAGGAAGATTCAGCAAATTTTTGATCTTGAGAAATCATTTTCCAGTGTTGGTTCTGCCGTGGTTTCATTGTTGATGCAGACATGAAGAAATGAAAAGTTTGTAGAGCATGAATGAGCAATGCTTTATGTTTAACATGTACTTCATCTTAAAAATACCTGCGATTTTGTGTATTTTACTTGAAAATGGCAGGCTGCCAATGCTTGGTTTTGTCTATGAGGATGTCACAAATAATTCACACAAAAAATACCTACTGTACATGTACACACGTGTACATGTACATGTAGGATAGTCCTACCCTGTAGTACGGTATGGCACTGTGCAGACTACCAAAGCAAAGGGTTAAACCAGCATCTCATGAACACTCTGAAAATACACGTGTTCAAGGTTTGAAAGACTTTCACTAGATATTACTACCCCAAAAAGTGCTAAATCAGCTACAAAATACACAGGTCTACAGTACAGTCTACTTGTGTTCATTTTCTGTCCCATCTGGTTTTTCTGTTTGCCTCCTCAAACTGCATTTTAACTCATGGGAATAATTGAGTCCTTGAGGCAATTTATTATATGGCTCCAAAAGATTCTATGGATGTTCTTGAGAAGAAAAAAAATGGGTTGAATTTCACAACCAGGGCAGGAAGAAAATGAAGGAGCTAGCTACAGGGTCAAATTGTGACAGATTTCACCACACTTGGGGTGCAGTTTTTTGAGAGGTTCAATTGAAGCTCAAAAAAATGTAATTTGTTTCCTCCGTAAGGCAATAATGAAATGAATCAAGAAATATCTGTAATTTTCTTATTTGTTGTCAAAAATGTTACTTGAAGAACTCATCAACTCATCAGAAGCTGCAGAGATTACTTTGCTGCATGGGCATTTAGGATGTGACGTTTACACGTTTAAACGCTACTGGAAAATTTTGCTAAACGTTTATCAAATTAAACGTAGATTCACATCCTTATGGGATTGACCACTAATCCCATGTGGTCAATCCCACTTTTTTTTTTTTTTTTGGAAAACAAAATCAATCAGAGTATAGCTTTGAAGTTTCTTTTTTTCATGTGCATACTTCAGTGAAGTATTTTCAGAGAGTCAGCTTTAGTATCCTGAAACCAGTTATACAAACTTGTACGATGATTATTGTTTTTTCTTCTGGTTATTCATGGATTAAAATTGAATTGACTTTGAACAAGGACACGTCATTTCCACTTAAGAGAAGCAACTTGTAAACAACAGATAAAACATTCTCTGGAAAATTGTCAGACTCTTATGACAGAAATTTTGGCATACCGCCCGGAAGCCTGTGCCAACCCGATAGCATCTCTGTAATGTAGGATTAGTGGTTCCACATATAACTAGCGGGGAAAGAAAACATCAGCGTAGGGCAAAGAATTTTAAGGTTAGAATAACGTGGCCCACTAGGAATTTCATATTTCATCAACGTTAATACAGTATGCACACTGTATAGGCCCTAATATTGGAGTACATGTATGACTCAAGTCCTGCATTTTAATGACAAGATAATTTTTTTTTCTTTTCTTTTTTCTTCTTCTACAAAAGCTGATGTTGTCGTTGAACCCATAACAAGTCCATCATTTATGAGTCCCATCACAACTCAACTACAAGTCCATTCACACGTCCAGTCACAAAAAAACAGGATTGTCAGCAAGGAAAGAATATTAGGGCCTATATGCCTGTTTTATGACTTATGTACATCTACATTTACTTGAATATGATAAACCGGTACATGTGGGACAGGAGGATGTGATATGATAGACACAACTATGGTATCATCACTGTAAAAATGCATATATCATCCTGTCAACTTCGGTAACGTTGTGTGCTCCTATTGAATCCAATGACACGACATGACCCAGCTAGTCATGAATTATTCATACTTTTTGTACACATGTACAAGTTTGTGTATTTAAGCAGCTTTTGACAAAGAAGGAGACTTACATGTATAGTGTGATTCATGTACTCGTATCGCATATTTCTGTATGCAAATGATATACTCCCACACACTTGTCCAAACCTGTAAATGCATCTCTTATCAGAATCTCTCTTGTTCTGAGAGACAATATCTGCTCACCCGCGGGCCCAACACAGAAATTACTTGAGCAGTCTGTGGACGTCATTCACAGTGGCGAATTCGTGGTGTGCTTATTACCGACTAATCCTCTGGTAATTTCTGCCTTCTTGAGTTCCAAAGTCTTGTCTCTTGATAGCCTCTCTGCACACCTCGAGCGTCGGCTTTATACCTCCTGATTTGATTAGGACTCCGGTGTTCTGAACCTTGTGGGGGGTCGCACTACCCGCCCACCACCGAACTTCATCTCGCAAATAACCGGGGCTGGAAATTGCCAAATTTGGCCCCCCTCTCCTCCCCCCTTGGGGATCCGTCTGAGAGAATAGCCAAGTGCTGGCTCTGCCCTGCTTGAAAAGCACCAGGCGTTAATGGCTGAAGAAGTTGCCGAGTGTGTATTTCTCACTTGCCTGTAAACTATTCAGGGGCTTGTTGCGTGCTTCAAGGTGATGGTTTGAACTTTTAATGGCACAAATTGATACCTCAGTTCAGGGAAGCATACCGCACTAATGGCAATTACTCGTTAGACTGTGAAAAAGCCATAACATAAATTTGTTCCATGTACTATGTTTTCTTACCACACTGATAATGGTTGTGAAATTAAATTTACAGCGCATATACTTGCAGGTACATCGCAGGGGCTGCAAACTCTTTTATAAATATACTTCAGTGGCGTTGGGTTTCTCCTAATGGAACGGCAGTTCATCAGGGTGGCAACTTCACATTTTTTCAATTGTTAGTTTTCTACTTAGGCACTTCATGCTGATCAAATGCTTTCGAAAATGTCGCAAGAAATCTCGTCACAAAACCGTTGACTTTTGCCTCAAAAAAGACCAAAAGAAATACCACCCACGTAAAAGTGAGCCTTCAGAGGTGAATGACGCTCAACGTAATTTGCTTACTCCAAGATTGCTAGTCTATTTATGCCACAGGACACCTCAACAAACTGCAATCGCCTGTCGTTAGAGGGGCGATTCATTAGCTCAAACAATGACATTTATCACGTCATTAATTTCTTGATATCTAGGACATTGCCGGGCAAGCAGAGTGACGGTTGCGACGCTGTGGGCGACTTGTTACGACACATGCTGTAATTTAATCACAAGCAATCAGCCGTCCACGTATACAACTCTCCCGGTCTCGAGCTGTAATCAGAGGTAAGACTTTAAATTGCCCGTTCCTTTCTTAACACCCACGATTTTTTCAATGAACTCGGAATTATGCATTGATTGAGCTGCCAAAGTTGAACAATGCAGCCTCTAAAGCCTTTAAAACGGTAGATTGATCCTAGGAAGTTATAGCAAAAAAAAAAAGGAAATATTTTTGAAATTAAGGAGAGACTTGCCAACTTGTAATATGCAAATTGTTTCAAAATTGAAAACAATTAATTTCAAAATTGATTACGTTCATATGCCATTACCATACATCCCAAAAGCAGCGATGGATTTCTCTAAATGAAGTGGAAAACAGTGTCCATTATGCCCATTTACTGAACCGGTAGTTTCATTTTGCAAGTAAAGAGCTATCATGAATCCGAAAGGAGAATCATCGGTTTTAATTTCGACATTTTTTGCCTCAAATTTGTCAAGTTCTTTCCTGTGCTGTCCTGGAGATTGTACAATTATTTGGCGAGAGTAGGAAGGAAAGAAATCCGGACGGGAATAAGAATTTGCCCAAGGCATGCCGGAGGACCGAATACCTGAATGAAAGAAGTTGATTGGATTCCGTGATCTGGAAAAAAAAAAAATCCAGAAGATGAGAAAAAGCCCGCTAGCCGTGACACTTTGAAGTTTGATTACAGATGACGCTTGTGGTTAGGTCTAGATCTTGTGAGACACACTGGAGCTTACTGGAGACATTTGAGCTGATGCAAAGATGTCATACTGCATCTATCTATCTAAAACTGATATAAGAAGGCTAACAAAATTACAAGTAGCTGTTTACAATTGAGTCACACTGGAGGTGGATGGAATACAAACATGTGGAGTAGAATTTGGATCTGGAATACATGCATGTACAGGGTATCTTTAGCATAAATATTCTTTGGGTCAGAAAAAGGACTTGAATGTTTCTGAACACAATTCATCAGGCATTGGTATTGAAATCAAAGTAGTGATCTGATCTGACCAACTGCTTGGAATCCTTTTGAATTGTGGGAAAACTGGACTTGAATCGGTTGAAATGGAAATATAAAGGAAAAGCTGTACAGGCTTTTCCCAGCACACACACACAAACACTGGAAGTCAATGAAGTTACTCTAAACTCCCTCTCCATGAATCCTTCACATTCTTTTTATCACCCTATCTCCCTTGGCATTTTTGCCAGGATGCAACCTTAATCCTGCAAAATCCTCCAACTGTCTCCATTTGAAAATTGCATACAGCCTCAACCCTTCAAAATTCTCTGTTTAAATGTTGTCCTTGGAGGGGTGGCCACTGCCTCAATCCTGCAAAATCCTCCAGCAATCACTTTCAATATGTTGAGGCAGAGCCAGTGAAATCCAGGAGCAGTGCGGAGGATTTCAAGTATAATCTAGGCCTAAATTTATGCACGGCTGAGCATAAACAACACAAGGTCCGGCCCAAGACCTTGACGCAGTGCATCCTCCAAAATCAGCCACACATTTTACCATGATGTACATGAAACCTCAATCCTGAAATAGCCTTTATTTTGAAAAGAGGATTTTTAATGTTGCTAGCAAAGGCATTTAAGCAAAAAGCACGGGCTATTCTGGACCGACTGCAGCATGGGCATCACCAAGACGCCAACAGCAGGGTGTCCATCAGACGACCTTTGCGGTGATTGAAGTTACGGTCCGTCGAGCAACGCAAGATTTGTCTTATTTGTGTGCCTAATCATGAGGAACTCTAATTATCCCAGAGGCCTAGTGATATGATGAATTGGCGGCCGGAACGCTTGGAAATTTCTCTTTGATTGATTGTTCCCTGTGATGAGATGGCTTATCGACCCTAAAGTTACTGATTTGCTCCCGCCATGTGCACGGGCCGGTATTTATCATTTGAAGGTGCTCCAGGTAGTCTGTGTGTTGGCATCTCGAGACACTCAAGGAAATATAATCTGATGCGAAGACTAGTAGAAGGAGTTGTTATTTCGTACACGTGTTGTTGACACAACAATGAACTGCGGACACTAAATGGGGGAAATAAATGAGAAGTGGATGAAAGCTGAGCAAATAGAATGTTGGAATTTTAATCATCGTTCTGACGGAAGTGGTATTTACTTAAAATTGAGAAAACTTCAGAAACCGTCAGAGGCATATCGTAAAAATCAAAAAATAAATTCCTTTTTTTTTATATTTGAAATGCATAAACTACCTTGTAGTTAAAAAAATCTTGAAAAAAAATTAAAAATTAAGTTTAGGTATGTACATGTATGTCATCTTTGTTTGCAATTGATTGATGGGTCAGCAAGTTGTACGAATTTGTCTATTTCTGGCCTACCCGGTATGTGCATGCATACGTGTAAAGGTGGGCACGGACATCCAGGCATTTTTTTTTACATCGGCTTAGCTACAATGTAGCTCCCAGACCTATGTTATTGAAACTCAGTGTTTCTTGAGTCTGGAGTGCTGAATGGTAACACATAGCAACCGATGAAAACTGGTGTGCAAATGAAAAGATGTTTTCATCGGATGACGTCAATCCGTCCCGATCTATACTGTAGAGGCTATAGCTAGTGCAGGGTACAAACAAAATTGATGGCAGCCCTATTCATTACAAAAAAACACCCACCAGGAATATGGATTGGACTAAAAGTTGTCTGTCTTGTCTTGCTGTTGACCAGGTTTATTGTGGTCACTGACCAGTTTGTGGTTTGCTGTTTGCCAGACCAGCCTTAATAGCTTTATAACTGTTATTGTTTGTTTTGGCTGTAAGGGATTAACTAGAGATTAAGGGATTAACCATAATAGGATTAAGTGATTAAAAAGTTAATCCCTATCCAGCAGATTGACCAAATTAACTGCCCTTCCAAAGGCCATGGTTTAACCATCACAGATGTGACATGTTCAAACAGGCTATGAACATGTACCCTGTATGTACATTGTATGTTCATGAACGCAGTAGTATTTAGGCCCTATTGAATGATTGAATCAAATCATAATATTTAAGGGCAATGTTTCTCTGGCTATTATTTAACAGCTCCTACACTTGCTGTTACATGTTTTTTTCTTTATCGGAGGAGTGAAGACACCTTTTGGTCTTAAATTTTCAGGAGATAAATAAGAACATTCTGTATCTTCTTCGGAAGCCATCAGCTAAACAAAGTTTTAATATTCCAATCTGGAAATACCGCACAATACTTCACTTTATCCCCTTCCCCTTTTTGAAAAAAAACCCAACAATTACGCGAGCCCTTTAGGCGCACCCTCTTCCCCTAAAATTTGGTTCTGGATCGGCCCATGTTCACAAAGTGAATGTGGTGGGATTTGGACTGGGGTCAAATACCGGTTGGTTGAAATTGAGGAAGATTAACAGTACACACATGTTAGTATGGTTGACTGACCACCAACCCTGCTTGTTATTTAATGACCTTCAGTTTTTAGTATTAATATTTGATAACCACTTACATAATTTACTCCATTCATCATAACCATTTCTCTATCCAGTAAGTGTTGCAAGATCGCGAAGGCTGTTTGCCGACCAACTGACATTCTAACAATTAAATCTTGACATACAGTTAAAGATAAACGATGGTCACAGCCGACACAGCGTCAAGTTCAGGTATAGACCCCTCTCATAGACAGCCATCTTTGTAGGGAAATTACAACTACGTATTCAACGCCATCAGGTACATGTGCGCACATAGGCATGTATACGCGTACTGTGCAAAATGTTCTAAAAATGCGCATGGTGCTCCATTTGTCTGCGAAATACGGAACAGCCATTGCGCGTCACGGAAATTTGACTCCCAAGATGCTGATGCATGCGACAATCTGTAGGCAGTGACGTCATTTGAGATTTTATAACCGACATACAGATCCTTGTCATTTGATTGGTGGAACTCACATCACGTGACATTCGTTATTGCTCCCATTCACGCTGGGGGTTCAGAAAGTCCCATTCGCCCATGGGGAATGGGAAATATTAAGGAACACTTAGGATCGATGCTTGTTCCATGACGCGGTATTTGTGTGCAAATGCATGCTGGTGTGTGCGTTGCGCGTAGCGCGTATTGTTCCAAATAGCAAGCACTACAGGGTTGGGTTCAAACATTTTCATGAAGGGGTGGTTTGGAAGAGAGAAATACATATAAAACAAATATTGAGTGGCTTTAAATTGTGAAATGGGAGGAATATTATCGCTCGGTAAAATCTGGACTTTTTCAGTTCACTTGGCTTCGCCTCGTGAAATGGAAAAGTCCAGATTTTACCTTGCGATAATATTCCTCCCATTCCACGCTGAGCCACTCAATATTTGTATAATTATCAATAGGTTTTAGCACAACTTGTGAGTGGAGGAGTCTTCCTCTCTGTGTGCATCAACTACGTGTAGTTCAGGTGAATTTGATTTTGCTTCAGGAATCCTTTCATCACTACAGTGCATCATATCAGTATGACGTCATCTACGCGATACACGATGGACTAAAGTACTCTCTGGCTGTCAGCGCACAGACTTCTTGAGGTATTATATGATCTCATCAAAATTTAAGACGTCGCCAAAAAGGACTCTCCAAACCCATTCCTTCTTGCACCTGATCTCTCATCAGGTGTGCAACGGTGAAGTGTTTATAAAAAATGAATACAATTGTCAGTGCAATTCCAGATGACAAATGTATTTTCAGGAGATTCGTCCAGTTTGGTCTAATGTGCGTACATGTCTGTACCAAAAGAATCCTTTGTAAAACTAAAAATTTTAATTATTTACTGCCAGGATCTGCGTCATACATGTAGCCAACCATTGTCTCATGCAAAATGCATGTGTACGGTATCAGAAAAGGTAGGTGTAACACATCAGGAGTGCATTATCAACAAGTTATGACAGCGCCCCGTTATTTTCTGTCCCAACTAAATAGTGGGCATAGTTTGGCGGAAAGGTAAACGGTAAAGCGTTGGGGTCTATGAACGGCACATCCACAGTTTGTTCTTCAGGGCATGTGAATTCTGATGACGACACACAATATTTCGTTTCATATTTTT